GGTGCTCAGGGTGGGATTTGGGTCCCCAAAACCCCCCCGGCGACTGAACCCCCCCTTCTGTGCCCACCAGGGACCCTCCAAAAGCAGCGCCGAGGGCGGAGGGAGGAGCAGGAGGAAGAGGAGGAGGAGGAAGGGCACCGGAGCAACCAGAGCCAGGTGGGGTTTGGGGGTCCCTCCCTCCTCTGGGGACCCCCGGGACCCTCCCAGTAACCCCCGGGACCCCCCAACTGCAGGACCCCCACAAGTGGACGCTCTGAGGGACAGGACAGAGCCCCCTCCCAGTGCTCCCAGTTCACCCAGTCCTGGCTCATCCCAGTTACACCAGTTGGCCCCAGTTCCTTGCATGGGTTTCGTTTCCTCCAGTAACTCCCAGTGAATTCTCACAGTCCCAGTTCTCCCAGTCAGTCCCAGTTCTCCCAGTCAGTCCCAGTTCTCCCAGTTAATGTTGATCCCAGTTCCCCCCACCAGTCCCAGTCCTCCCAGTCAGTCCCAGTTCTCCCAGTCAGTCCCAGTTCCCCCAGTTAATGTTGATCCTACTTCCCCCCACCAGTCCCAGTTCTCCCAGTCAATCCCAGTTCCCCCAGTGCTCCCAGTTTCCCACGGTCAATCCCAGTTGTCCCAGTCATTCCTGGTTGGTCTGTCCCATTCATCCCAGTCCCTCCCAGTCCATCCCAGTCCCCCCCAGTTTCCCAGTCCCCCCAGTTTCCCAGTCCATCCCAGTTTCTCCCAGTCCCTCCCAGTTTCCCAGTCCCCCCCAGTCCCTCCCAGTCCCCCCCAGTTCCTCCCAGTCCCTTCCCAGTCCCTCCCAGTCCCTCCCGGTCCCTCCCAGTCCATCCCAGTCACTCCCAGTCCCTCCCAGTCCATCCCAGTCCAATCCCAGTCCCTCCCAGTCTCTCCCAGTCCCTCCCACTCCATCCCAGTCCATCCCAGTCCCTCCCCCCAGGCTGACACCCCCCTGCCCGCGCTGCTGGGGCTGCGCCTCGAGGGGCTGGTCCCGGCCACGCTGCTGCCTCTGCTGCTCACCATGGTGGGTCTGGGGGGGCTGCGACCCCCCAAAATCCTCCCCTGGGACATCCCAGGGGATCCCCGAAATCCGCCTGACCCCCAGGACCCCCCCCAGAATTTATTGAGCCCCCGCCCCTTCCCCCAAATGCTCTGCCTGGGCCTTTCATGTGTGGTGGGTGTGGGAGGGCTTGGGACCCCCAAAATTCACTCAGGACCCCCCAAAATTCACTCAAGACCCCCCAAAATTCACTCTAAAGCCTCCAAAATTCACTCTAGACCCCCAAAATCCACTCAGGACCCCCACAGGCACCCCCAAAATCCCCCTGATCTCCCCCAGAATTCACTGACTCTGCCTGGGCTCACCAGGGTGGGTGTGAGAGGGGCTTGGACCCCCCAAAAACCCCTCTGGGACCCCCAAAACCCACTCAGGAACCCCCAAAACTCTCCCTGAGCCCCCCCAAACTCTTCTGAGACCCTCAAATCCCTCTAGACCCTCCCCAAACCCCAAATCCTGCTCCCTTCTCTGATCCCACTCCCCATGGTGGGTATGGAGTGGAAGATGGGGAACCCCCCCACCCAAAACCCCCCATTGAACCCCCAGGGGATGGAAAAGGGGGGTGCGACCCCCCCCGACCCCCCCAAATCAGTTCCGGGGGGTTTTTGGGGTCCCCCAGACCCGCGGGTGTGGGCGCTGTGCCTGGGGGACGTGCGCTGGCTGCGGAACCAGGTGGTGGCCCCGCTGACCGAGGAGTTGGTGTTCAGGGCCTGCATGCTGCCCATGCTGGTGCCCTGCACGGGGCCTGGCCCTGCCGTGCTGGCCTGCCCCCTGTTCTTTGGGGTCGGTGAGTGCAGCCCTAAAATATCCCAAAAATACCCCAAAATCCACCCCAAAATCCCCCCATGCTGGCCTGCCCCCTGTTCTTTGGGGTCGGTGAGTGCAGCCCTAAAATATCCCAAAAATACCCCAAAATCCACCCCAAAATCCCCCCATGCTGGCCTGCCCCCTGTTCTTTGGGGTCGGTGAGTGCAGCCCTAAAATATCCCAAAAATACCCCAAAATCCACCCCAAAATCCCCCCATGCTGGCCTGCCCCCTGTTCTTTGGGGTCGGTGAGTGCAGCCCTAAAATATCCCAAAAATACCCCAAAATCCACCCCAAAATCCCCCCATGCTGGCCTGCCCCCTGTTCTTTGGGGTCGGTGAGTGCAGCCCTAAAATATCCCAAAAATACCCCAAAATCCACCCCAAAATCCCCCCATGCTGGCCTGCCCCCTGTTCTTTGGGGTCGGTGAGTGCAGCCCTAAAATATCCCAAAAATACCCCAAAATCCACCCCAAAATCCCCCCATGCTGGCCTGCCCCCTGTTCTTTGGGGCTGGTGAATGGAACCCTAAAATATCCCAAATATACCCCAAAAATATCCCCCCCGTGCTGGCCTGCCCCCTGTTCTTTGGGGCTGGTGAATGGAACCCTAAAATATCCCAAATATACCCCAAAAACTACCCCAAAACCCCCCCGTGCTGGCCAGCTCCCTGTTCTTTGGGGCTGGTGAATGGAACCCTAAAATATCCCAAATATACCCCAAAAATATCCCCCCCGTGCTGGCCTGCCCCCTGTTCTTTGGGGCTGGTGAATGGAACCCTAAAATATCCCAAATATACCCCAAAAATATCCCCCCCGTGCTGGCCTGCCCCCTGTTCTTTGGGGCTGGTGAATGGAACCCTAAAATATCCCAAAAATACCCCAAAATAACCTCCCCTGTTCTGGTCTACCCCTTTTTCTTTGGGGTTGGTGAGTGAAACCCTAAAATATCCCAAAAATCCCCTAAAATACTCCCCCTCTTCTGGTCTACCACTTCTTATTTGGGGTTGGTGAGTGCAACCCTAAAACATCCCAAATATACCCCAAAAATCCACCCCAAAACCCCCCTGTTCCTTGGGGTGGATGAGTGGGACCCCAAAATCCCCCAAAACTGCCACTGATTCCCCTCCCCTGCACCCCTCGATGCCCCCTGATCCCCCCAAAAACACCATATCCCCCCCAAAACCCCCAAATCCTGCCCAAAAAACCCCAAATCCTGCTCCCCCAGCCCATTTCCACCACGTGATCGAGCAGCTCCGCTTCCGCCACGGCTCCGTCGGCAGCATCTTCATGGCAGCAGGTGAGGGGGGTTTGGGGGGGTCTGGGGGGAATTTGGGGGGTCCAGGGGTGTCCTGAGGGAGTTTGGGGTGTCCAGGGTGAAGATTTGGGGGGAATCTGAAGTTCTCAGGGATGTCCAGGAGGAATTTGGGGTGTCCAGGGGGAGTTTGGGGTGTCCAGGGCGAGGATTTGGGGAGTCTGGGGGGGTTTCATGGTGGCCTGTGGGGGTTTGGGGGTCTCCACGGGAGTTTTGGGGTGCCCAGGGCTGTTCTGGGGGGGGATTTGAGGTGCCCAGAGTGGGATTTTTGGGGCCAGGGTGGGATTTTTGGGGTGTCCAGGGTGGCCCTTGTGGTGCCTCTGAGCCTCTGCCAGGGCTGGGGGTGGATTTGGGGGTCCCGGGGGGTTTTGGGGTGTCCCTGACCCCCCTTTTCCCCCCCCCAGCATTCCAGTTCTCCTACACGGCCGTGTTCGGGGCCTACACGGCCTTCCTGTTCCTCAGGACCGGTGGGTCTGGGGGCCGGGGGGGTTTGGGGGTCCCCAATCCCCGTGTCCCCAGCTGTGTTTTTGGGGTGTGTTTGCGGTCCCCAGTCCCCCTGTCCCTGTCCCCAGGTGTTTTTGGGGTGTGTGTTTGGGGTACCATCCCCGTGTCCCCAGGTGTATTTTCGGGGTGCCATCCCCGTGTCCCTGTCCCCAGATGTGTTTTGGGGTCCCCAGTCCCCATTTCCCTGTCCCTGGGTGTGTTTGGGGTCCCCAATCCCCGTGTCCCTGTCCCCAGGTGTTTTTGGGGTCCCCAACCCCGTGTCCCTGTCCCCGGGTGTTTTTGGGGTCCCCAATCCCCGTGTCCCCAGGTGTATTTTTGGGGTCCCCAACCCCGTGTCCCCAGGTGTGTTTTTGGGGTGTGTTTGGGGTCCCCAATCCCCGTGTCCCCAGCTGTGTTTTTGGGGTGTGTTTGGGGTCCCCAGTCCCCGTGTCCCTGTCCCCAGGTGTTTTTGGGGTCCCCAGTCCCCATTTCCCTGTCCCTGGGTGTTTTTGGGGTCCCCAATCCCCGTGTCCCCAGGTGTATTTTTGGGGTCCCCAACCCCGTGTCCCCAGGTGTGTTTTTGGGGTGTGTTTGGTGTCCCCAATCCCCGTGTCCCTGTCCCCAGGTGTGTTTTTGGGGTCCCCAGGGGGACTGGGATGGACTGGGAAGAGTTTAGGGGAACTGGGAGGGTTTGGGACGGGTTTAGGGGAACTGGGATGGACTGGGGGCGGAATGGGGGGGGGAATGGGATGGACTGGGGGCACTGGGATGGACTGGGGGGCACTGGGATGGGTTATGGGGAACTGGGAGGGAATGGAAAGGGCCTGGGAATGACCGTGACGGACTGGAAGGGGAGCGGAAGCGACTGGGATGAACTGGGCCGAACTGGGACAGCTCCGAGTGGGGCCTGGAGCAGCACCGAGGTCCTCCCAGCCGCCAGGGAGCGCTGTCACACGAGGTCACGCCCCCTCAAGCACCGCCCGCCGCCCGTGTCCAGCGTCGCTTTATTCGCGCGTGACTCCCGTACACCCGCGCGAGGCCACGCCCCCACCGCGAGGCCACGCCCCCACGTCCCTCCGGTTCCCCCGGGGCGGGGTCGCGGTCCCGGGGGTCCCGGGGGTCCCGCTCCCAGCAGGTGTCACAATCCCGGTGGGCTCGGCCGAGGCCGGTGCTGCTGGCCCGGGGGTCCCGCTCAGGGCAGGTGTTCCCATCCCAGTGGCTCCGGACGGTACGGGTGTCCCAGTCCCAGTGCCCCCGGTCAGAGCAGGTGTCCCAGTCCCGGTGCCCCCGGTCATTGCGGCTGTCCCAGTCCCGGTGTCCCCGGTCATTGCGGCTGTCCCAGTCCCGGTGTCCCCGGTCAGAGCAGGTGTCCCAGTCCCGGTGCCCCCGGTCATTGCGGCTGTCCCAGTCCCGGTGCCCCCGGTCATTGCGGCTGTCCCAGTCCCGGTGCCCCCGGTCATTGCGGCTGTCCCCATCCCGCCGTCCCCGTCCCAGCCCCGCCGCCGGCCCGCCTCTCTCCGTGCCGGTGCCCCGGGCGGCCGCGGCGGTCAGGGCGGGTTGTCGCCGTCGCGGGGCCCGCGGGCGGGCCCGCCGTGGCTGTGGGCCTTGCGGACGTGCCGGTACAGGTCCCCGGACTGCGTGTAGGAGCGCAGGCAGTGGCGGCACTCGTAGGGCCGCTCGCGGGTGTGCACGGTGGCGTGGCGCCGCAGCGTGTACGAGCACGAGAACGTCTTGCCGCACGTCGGACACGTCGGGGCCTCCTCGGCGAACAGCCCGAAGCCCCCGCGGGGCTCCAGCGGCGCCAGGAACAGCGGCTCCCGCAGCCCCCCCAGCGCCGGGCCCAGCGCCGCCCCCTCCCCAAATCCCGCCGCTCGGGCCGGGGGAGGCGGCGGCGGCAGCGGC